CACTCACTGATTGGATATTTCTGAGTTTGCGCATCGCTGTTATGACTTCAGCCGACGCAGGAGGGGTTTGAGTTTGCGGCAGCGTCTTTTAGTTCCCAACATGACACAGCTGCGACAAAATTCAGAGCCATTTTGTAATGCTCTAGCCATCAGGATGATATTTCAACGTATACGATGGACGCAGCCCCATTCAACCATTTGATCGCGCGATTCTCTCTCAGAAACTTTATTAGCTCTATGCGCTGACCTCAGATTGATATGCGCATGTCCTCCTGTTCCTCGTCTGCTAATCTGTTGAAGTATGCCCCACGGTCTGCTTTAACTTTCGAGTTGAAGACGCCTTGTAAACGTCTCTGCTCCACATGGTTACCCTTTCTGTGAGCTTCGGACTTCAACGACATGACGGCGAACGTCTTGGCAGGGACACGCACCAGCCTGTTCCTTGTTCCATTTTAAGCAAATCAGCTTGTCTGCTGCCCTTGTGAGATTGTTCAAGATGTTCTCTACCTCAATTGAATCGAGAAAGCCCAGGGCTCGATGGCGATTGCTGACATCGATGGCATACGACTCAGCTACTCGAGTGGAGGATGTGTTTGGCGTTGCAGCGTTCCTTCAACGTGGCACGTTTAGCACAATAGCACAATGTGCAGGTGGGACTCAAATTTTGGCCACATCTGGTCGACGGTCAGTGGTAGCAGTTGCTTTAGCGCCGTGGTAGACTCTGTAGCCCTTTTCAAAGCCTGCATTGTATCGAGTCAGGACATAGCTGATTTGTTTAGCTGTATGACCGTCGTTGGAATACCATGTCAACCAGTTAATTCTATGACCTTGGAACAACGAGCCCACTGCTGAGAGACAGTAAGACTTTTTTGTTCTGAGCTTAAGGAGGCGGGTGGAGTTGTCATTTCTACCACCGGATCACAAACTCCCTGCCACTGACTCGATGCTTGATCGGTTTTCACTGGCTTCTGCGTTGAGGCAACCGAGGCTTCCGTTGAGGCTTCTTCTTTCGGTGCGCATATGACGACCTCCGTGGCGATAGCAAACGCGTGCCTGCAATATTCGATCTCAAACGGGTTGTTACCTCACTAAGGATCGGTCGAATGGCTGCTCGATGACGAGCACCACTCCAATCACGTGCTTCGCTCCGCCCGAGTGTAGAATGAAGACATCTTAAATTCATTGGAGGCCATTACTCGCAAGGCAAGCTTCACGTATAAGTCTGTTAGGGAGATGTCCGTATTCAAGTGGGAGCGTTCGCGTGGCATGGCGTGTTGAGGCTCAAAATATTTCCGAAGTCACGACCCTGGATTCAGGGTTGTTATGTTTTGAAGGGAAAAACCGGAATACGACCATCACCAGTAGATACTACAGCACGGCTGTTGCTCCACTCGTCACGGTGATGACTAAAACATGGCAGGTACTTCATCTCTGGTGCGAGAAGTTATATTCATAGTTTGTTGGGTGCTCCTATGCGTTACTTGTCATTTAATTAATTTAATCGCTGTATTTTAGCTTAATCTTAAAAGCGCCAATGTCGAGTCTGTATTCTTGGCTTCTAATCGATAGCAATAGCGACTGATAGGAACCATTGCTTAGATTCGATCGTTCGAAAGACGAGCCAATGAGGCCAATGACCCCGTATTTTTGTTTGGAGTCAAAAAATGTCGAGGGAATAATAATTCATTGACGAAGTATGATTGAATGAAATCTTTCATCTACAGAAAGTACAGCAAGAACAGAGTGAATAGCATTTTGACTAAAAGCGACAGACTGGTATCTTAGGTAGTGCTTGTTAGATTGGGCACCTCCGTTGTTATCGGTCCTAAGCACGGTTAACAAAAGAGGAGGGTAGGAACGGAGGATGATTTTCTTTGACTCAAAGAGCTGAGTGTAATTCTCACAGAGAGAAGTAAATACATCATCTCCATTCTTCAGTGCTGTGATGATTCAGCGAATAACGCACTATCTGACTTCCACACTGTCTGACTGTCTGTGATCTTCGATGAATTTTTCAAATTGCTTCCGCAATCCGAAAGTCTTGAAATCTTCCTTCAGCTTCTGTCTTGTGTAAAATGGAGTCGGTCACATTTCTCTTTGTCCTTCTTCGCTTTTCTAGAAAACTCTTTGTTTTGTCTGAGATCGTCCTTTCACTGTCCTGGATGTTGCCACCTCAGCTGCACTTAAGCAGCGCTTCAGTTTCTCTGCAAAGTTTCCGTCGTTGCAGCTACTGCCATTTAGACTCCATGGTTCACTGAAACTACGCGCTTGGAGCACCAGCAACGTCTCGTAGAATACCTTCAATTGTTGTTTGCTGTTTGCCATCTGCAGTGCTTCCCTCTCGATCTTCTCCTCAGAGTATGGTCTGCCCACTCCAGTCTGTCGTCACTCCTGATGGCACTACTGCAATGCCACGAATGACGAGGCGTTTATCGAACTAGACTACGTTACCCTCGTTCTTCATCGCAGAGTAGGATTCGATTCATGTCCTCCTCCTGTTCGCATTCTTCGTGAATCTGGTGTTGTCAATGTACGGTGTTTTGTATCTGCTATGGTCAGCAACCGGTGTGCTGCTCATTTCCCTCTCTGACAAATTTTCCACTTACCCTTCCTCGTCAGACTTTGACATTGAAGACTCCGATGACGATTGTAGACATAAACTTCTCGATCAGTACTTGTTACAATTTTTGATAGAATTCTTCCATTTCCTTCTCGTCAGTTGAACTTGTAAGAGCATCGATTTGGACATCTTTAAAATCCTATTCTTATTCA